GGCGATTTCAACTACAGGGAGATCGACTGGGAAAACCTGGAGCCACATGGGGGTCCCGAAACATGGAGAGCCAAGATGATGGATGTGGTACCTGAAAACCTCATGCATCAACATGTCAGGGACACAACCAGAGAGAGAGGGGAGGATGAGCCAGCAAGACTGGATCTTGTGTTCACCCTGAGCAGTTCAGACATTGAGGACATCACTTACGAGAGGCCCCTTGGAGCTAGCGATCACGTGGTTCTGAGTTTTGATTATATAGTAGAGTTACAAGTGGAGAAGGTAACAGGAACTGAAGGGGACAGGCCAAACTATAAAAGGGGGGACTACACAGGTATGAGAAACTTCCTGCAGGAGGTTCAGTGGGACAGAGAAATGGTAGGAAAATCAGTAAACGAGATGATGGAATATGTGGCAACAAAGTGCAAGGAGGCAGAGGAAACGTTTGTTCCCAAGGGAAACAGAAATAATAGGAAGACCAAAACGAGTCCTTGGTTTACCGAAGTGTAGGGAGGCAAAAACTAAGTGCAACAGAGAATGGAAAAGGTACAGGAGGCATAGGACCAGGAAAAACAAGGAGATTAGTAGAAGAGCCAGAAACGAGTATGCACAGATAAGGAGGGAGCCCAGACGACAGTATGAAAACGACATAGCATCGAAAGTCAAATCTGACCCGAAACTGCTGTATAGCCACATTAGGAGGAAGACAACAGTCAAGGACCAGGTGATAAGGCTGAGGAAAGAAGGTGGAGAATTCACAAGAAACGATCAAGAGGTATGTGAAGAGCTCAACACGAGATTTAAGGAAGTATTTACAGTAGAGACAGGAAGGACTCTGGGGGGACAGACCAGATGGGGACACCAGCAAGGAATACACCAACAAGTGTTGGACGACATACATACAGATGAGGAGGAGGTGAAGAAACTGCTAAGGGACATCGATACCTCAAAGGCAATGGGACCGGACAACATCTCCGCGTGGGTCCTTAGAGAGGGAGTAGATATGTTGTGCGTGCCACTTACCACAATCTTCAACACGTCCCTGGAAACTGGGCAACTACCTGAGGTATGGAAGACGGCAAATGTAGTTCCCATTTTTAAAAAAGGAGACAGAAAAGAGTCACTAAACTATAGACCTGTGTCATTGACGTGTATAGTATGCAAAGTTATGGAGAAGATTATCAGGAGGAGAGTGGTGGAGCACCTGGAACGGAACAAGAGTATAATGCCAACCAGCACGGATTCATGGAAGGCAAATCCTGTGTCACAAACCTTCTGGAGTTTTATGATAAAACAACAGAAGTAAGACACGAGAGAGAGGGGTGGGTTGATTGCATCTTCTTGGACTGCAAGAAGGCCTTTGACACAGTTCCTCACAAGAGATTTAGTGCAGAAGCTAGAGCATCAGGCGCATATAACAGGAAGGGCACTGCAATGGATCAGAGAATACCTGACAGGGAGACAACAACGAGTCATGGTACGTAATGATGTATCACAGTGGGCACCTGTGACGAGCGGGGTCCCACAGGGGTCGGTCCTAGGACCAGTGCTATTTTTGGTATATGTGAACGACATGATGGAAGGGTTAGACTCAGAAGTGTCCCTGTTTGCAGATGATGTGAAGTTAATGAGGAGAATTAAATCAGATGAGGACCAGGCAGGACTTCAAAGAGACCTGGACAGACTGGACACCTGGTCCAGCAAATGGCTTCTCGAATTTAATCCTGCCAAATGCAAAGTCATGAAGATAGGGGAAGGGCACAGAAGACCACAGACAGAGTATAGGCTAGGTGGCCAAAGACTGCAAACCTCACTCAAGGAGAAAGATCTTGGGGTGAGTATAACACCGAGCATGTCTCCGGAAGCACACATCAATCAGATAACTGCTGTAGCATATGGGCGCCTGGCAAACCTGAGAACAGCATTCCGATACCTTAGTAAGGAATCGTTCAAGACACTGTACACCGTGTATGTCAGGCCCATACTGGAGTATGCAGCACCTGTTTGGAACCCGCACTTGATAAAGCACGTCAAGAAACTAGAGAAAGTACAAAGGTTTGCGACAAGGTTAGTTCCAGAGCTAAGGGGAATGTCCTATGAAGAAAGATTAAGGGAAATCGGCCTGACGACACTGGAGGACAGGAGGGTCAGGGAAGACATGATAACGACATATAAAATACTGCGTGGAATAGACAAGGTGGACAAAGGCAGGATGTTCCAGGGAGGGGACACAGAAACAAGAGGCCACAATTGGAAGTTGAAGACACAAATGAATCAGAGAGATATTAGGAAGTATTTCTTCAGTCATAGAGTTGTCAGGCAGTGGAATAGCCTAGAAAATGACGTAGTGGAGGCAGGAACCATACACAGTTTTAAGACGAGGTTTGATAAAGCTCATGGAGCGGGGAGAGAGAGGGCCCAGTAGCAACTGGTGAAGAGGCGGGGCCAGGAGCTAAGACTCGACCCCTGCAACTACAAATAGGTGAGTACAAATAGGTGAGTACACACACACACACACACACACACACAACACATTATATAATATATATATATATATATATATATATATATATATTGCATATATATATGTGTGTGTGTGTGTGTGTGTGTGTGTGTTTACCTGGAGTTTACCTGGAGAGAGTTTCGGGGGTCAACGCCCCCGCGGCCCGGTCTGTGACCAGGCTCCTGGTGGATCAGCGCCTGATCAACCAGGCTGTTGCTGCTGGCTGCACGCAAACCAACGTACAAGCCACAGCCCGGCTGATCAGGAACTGACTTTAGGTGCTTTGTCCAGTGCCAGCTTGAAGACTGCCAGGGGTCTGTTGGTAATCCCCCTTATGTGTGCTGGGAGGCAGTTGAACAGTCTCGGGCCCCTGACACTTATTGTATGGTCTCTTAACGTGCTAGTGACACCCCTGCTTTTCATTGGGGGGATGCTGCATCGTCTGCCAAGTCTTTTGCTTTCGTAGTGAGTGATTTTCGTGTGCAAGTTCGGTACTAGTCCCTCTAGGATTTTCCAGGTGTATATAATCATGTATCTCTCCCTCCTGCGTTCCAGGGAATACAGGTTTAGAAACCTCAAGCGCTCCCAGTAATTGAGGTGTTTTATCTCCGTTATGCGCGCCGTGAAACTTCTCTGTACATTTTCTAGGTCGGCAATTTCACCTGCCTTGAAAGGTGCTGTTAGAGTGCAGCAATATTCCAGCCTAGATAGAACAAGTGACCTGAAGAGTGTCATCATGGGCTTGGCCTCCCTAGTTTTGAAGGTTCTCATTATCCATCCTGTCATTTTTCTAGCAGATGCGATTGATACAATGTTATGGTCCTTGAAGGTGCGTGTGTGTGTGTGTGTGTGTGTGTGTGTATGTATGTATGTATGTGCTCACACACCATGTACGTATTCAGAAAATTACGGTTATGTTTCAGGGAAATTTTACAAGGTGAAGCACAATCTCATTTTGGCTCAATAAGCCAAAGATACCTGTATAAGACGAAGGACGTGAGGTTCAGCACTTGTGCTGAATAAACCTTGATAAAGTTCTACCTTAAAAAAGTTCTACCTTAATAAGAGCTTATTTCGCATATTGTCTTTATGCCAGCGCATGAGGGGATACCTGGAGGGTGTTCCGGGGGTCAACGCCCCCGCGACCCGGTCTATGATCAGGCCTAGCAGTGGATCAGGGCCTGATCAACCAGGCTGTTACTGCTGGTCGCACTCTAACGGGCGTACGAACCACAGTCCGGGGACGATTTGGAATTCCAGTAGTATTTGATTTGTCGTATGTTGTGTTTTACAAGCATGTAGTTCAGAATTAGGATGCAGAAATTAAAGTGAACCAACTCTTTTTGGCTGATGCCAAAGCTGTTAGCAAGCCGTAGGTCAGCACTTGTGCTGAAATAACCTTGATAAAGTTTCTTAAAGTTCACCTTAATAGGCTTATTTCGATATGTCTTTACAGCAGCAGAGTGTGATACCTGTGGGGTTGTCCCGGGTCAACGCCACGCGACCCGTCATTCAGCTGCTGATCGGCTGATCAACAGGTGTTACAGCTGGTCGACTCTAACGGGCGATCGAACCACAGCCGGGACAATTTGGAATTCATGTATTTGATTGTCGCTCTGTGTTTAGCCTGTTGCTAGCAATTAAGTGTACCAATGGGTTGTGAGCGACTGTTTGTCTAATCGATAATCTGGCAAAACTTGTTTTTGCGCAATTTTATGTCTGTTACCAGAGAGTGTTATATGATTGGCAGTGTCATGGCAACTGCAACGATGTCATTCATAGCTCAGAGCAGCATTCTCAGTTACATGAGGACCTGGATGTCCCCGCGGATAATTTAGCATGTTTCCTGCACTGCTACCCTGTTCGCTAATAAGTGTACCTGGTGTTATACTTTGTGGTTTATCCTGAGAAATTACACAATGTTGCCCAACAATGACCTATAATCAGGACTTACTATATATATTCATGATGTCCTAATGCCTGAAATCAGTGAATGTTCCCGTTCTCTGGATGGAATATCACTGGTTTTATTTTTTATTCCTATAATACAGTGTTACTACATTACCTATCGTACTTAATAACATTCTAATAGACTGACTAATCATTAATTTGCTCTGGGCAGTACAGGAAGTGTAACTTATTACGAATGAGTGTTCCTTTCTTATAATTCATTTATATTACATTATTTGTATGGTATAAGGAAATTAACATTAATAATAATAATAATAATAATAATTTACCGTTCTGCAGATATTTCTTTAACGGTTTTGCAGGGTAGCCGGTTACTAAACATAGGTGAGGGTGTCAGAGTCTCGCCCTTCTGGAACTTGGCGAGGGAAGGAGATCCACCTGATCTATTTGGAAAGTTCTGTTTTTTATTTCTATTTATAAAGGAACTCTTGTTCCTTTTTTTTCATTGCCCAGCTAGAGCAATATGTCTTCTCTGTGCGTTGAGAAGTGTCATTTGGTAACGCGTAAGCCTCTAGTAGCCCTTACAAACCCAACAAGATTATGGTTATGGTCTTGTGTGAGGTCACTTATATGGTCACTCGTGTGAGGTCATTCTGTGAAGTCGCGTGTGTGAGGTCACTCGTGTGCAGTTACGTGTATGAGGTCACTCGTGAGAGGTTACTCGTGTGAAGTCACGTGTATGAGATCACTCGTGTGGTCACGAGTGAGGTTACTCTTGAGGTCACACGTGTGGTCAGTCGTGCGAGGTCACTTGTATGAAGTCACATGTGTGAGGTTACTCGTGTGGTCACTTGTGTGAAGTTACTCGTGGGACATCACACGTGAGGTCACTCGTGAAACGTCACTTGTGAGGTCACTCATGGGCCGTCACTTAAGGTCACTCGTGGGACGTTACTAAAGATCACTTGTGGGACGTCACTTAGGGTCACTCGTGTGAGGTCACTTGTGTGAGGTCACTTGTGTGATGCCGTGACTGATGGGGTCAGTCTTGTGGTCCTCACACTGCTACTCATCATGGAGTCTAAGAGAGAGACTTACTATTTTCATGTTGATAATGTCACAGTTCATGGTAAGGGCCATTTGTGAAGGTCACAGTTCATGGTAAGGACCATCAGTGAAGGTCACAATTCAGGGTAAGGACCAGCGAAGGTCACTTAATGGTAAGGACCATCAGTGAAGGTCACAGTTCATGGTAAGGACCATCAGTGAAGGTCACAGTTCATGGTAAGGACCAGTGAAGGTCACAATTCTTGGTAAGGACCATCAGTGAAGGTCACAATTCAGGGTAAGGACCAGTGAAGGTCACAGTTCATGGTAAGGACCAGTGAAGGTCACAGTTCTTGGTAAGGTCTGCCAATGAAGGTCACAGTTCAGGGTAAGGACCAGTGAAGGTCACAGTTCATGGTAAGGACCATCAGTGAAGGTCAGTTCATGGTAAGGACGATCAGTGAAGGTCACAGTTCATGGTAAGGACTAATGAAGGTCACAGTTCATGGTAAGGACCATCAGTGAAAGTCATAGTTCATGGTAAGGACCATCAGTGAAGGTCACAGTTCATGGTAAGGACCATCTGAAGGTCACACTTCATGGTAAGGGCCATCAGAGAAGGTCACAGTTCATGGTAAGGACCAATGAAGGTCACAGTTCATGGTAAGGACCAGTGAAGGTCACAGTTCATGGAAAGGACCATCAGTGAAGGTCACTTCATGGTAAGGGCCATCAGTAAAGGTCACAGTTCATGGTAAGGACCAGTGAAGGTCAGTTCATGGTAAGGGCCATTTGTGAAGGTCACAGTTCATGGTAAGGACCATCAGTGAAGGTCACAGTTCAGGGTAAGGACCAGTGAAGGTCACTTCATGGTAAGGACCATCAGTGAAAGTTGCGGTTCATGGTAAGGACCATCGGTGAAGGTCACAGTTCATGGTAAGGACCAGTGAAGGTCACAGTTCTTGGTAAGGTCTGCCAGTGAAGGTCACAGTTCATAAGGACCAGTGAGGGTCACAGTTCATGGTAAGGACCAGTGAAGGTCACAGTTCATGGTAAGGACCATCATTGAAGGTCACAGTTCATGGTAAGAGTGAAGGTCACAGTTCATAGCAAGGAACAGTGAAGGTCACAGTTCATGGTAAGGACCAGTGAAGGTTACAGTTCATGGTAAGGACCATCAGTGAAGGTCACAGTTCATGGTAAGGTCCACCAGTGAAGGCCACAGTTCATGGTAAGGACCAGTGAAGGTTGCAGTTCATGGTAAGGACCATCACTGAAGGTCACAGTTCATGGTAAAGACCAGTGAAGGCTACAGTTCATGGTAAGGACCATCAGTGAAGGTCACAGTTCATGGTAAGGACCATCAGTATAGGTCACAGTTCATGGTAAGGACCAGTGAAGGTCACAGTTCATGGTAAGGACCATCAGTGTAGGTCACAGTTCATGGTAAGGCTCATCAATGAAGGTCACAGTCCAGGGTGAGGCTCATCAGTGAAATTCGCAGTACAGTAGATAATTTCGAAATGAAATACAGGAGTGAATTACTGACAGGACAGGTCAAGGGTGTCCTGGTAACTATACAGTTTTCTTGGCTAAATATTCATATTCATATTTATATTCGTATAGTTTATTTGGACATGATACATAGTTATACAATTGATTGTAGTAGTTGGGTGTACATGCCGAAAGCCCCTTGTATGCAGAGCATTATGGGCAGGCTTAAAATTAACTTAAAATTATCAAGCAATGAAAGATTCAGTGTTAGAAATTACAGTAAACAATTTGCAATATTAACCCTTAAACTGTCCAAGCAGATCTATGTTCACATGCATAGTGCTCCAAAAGTAGTTTTCCTATTTTTTTTTACTTATTTTCATATATAACAAAAAAAAAAAACATAGATCAAAGTTTTTTTACACGTTTTCAAATGTAAAAAAAAGAAAAAGAAGATCTACTTTTTTTACATACTTTCAAATGTTGAAAAAACGTAGATCTACGTTTGGACAGTTCAAGGGTTAAGTACAATTGAGTATTTGAAACTATGAAATTTAAACATATCGATACTGAAGCATTATAGTTGTACAAATTTGTCACATTACAATGTATAACAAAAGATGATCAATTTGCTACATGTAATAAAGTTGGTAGAATTACCGACAATATGAAAAGTAAAAGGACACAAGTGCAACTAATGTGACATTTTTATTGTGGCAATGTTTCGCTCTCCAAGAGCTTTGTAACGGCTTGACAAAGCTCCTGGAGAGCAAAACGTTGCCACAATAAAAATGTCACATTAGTTGCACTTGTGTCCTTTTACTCTTCAATTTGCTATATGTTGTCTTGAAGTTTTAAGATTTAAGTAATTGGGAGAATTATTGGTAATGTTAAATACAGTGGACCCCCGGTTAACGATATTTTTTCAATCCAGAAGTATGTTCAGGTGCCAGTACTGACCGAATTTGTTCCCATAAGGAATATTGTGAAGTAGATTAGTCCATTTCAGACCCCCAAACATACACGTACAAACACACTTACATAAATACACTTACATAATTGGTCGCATTTGGAGGTGATCGTTATGCGGGGGTCCACTGTATTGAGTGTTGATTATTTCAAGTCTCTTACACAAGGAATTAGAGCTAACCCCTCTTCTTCCTTGAATCAGACCTGATTGCTTCATTGCCCTGGTACTGTATAACCCTTGTAGGTATAGTGCTTTCCCATGAATAATAATAATAATAATAGTAATTTAATCAGTAATTTAAACTCAGCCAAATCACTTATGTTAGTGTTAATTTTTATACATTAATTTGTATTTCCATATACATGTATTATTTGAGGCATGTTTTTATTGCCTTTATTTTTTTAAGTAACAGCTGGGATACCAGATGGATTTAGTAAGTTTATTCAGGTACAGGTACACAAATACAGTTATATAAATTATCATACATAGTAGCATATGTGTAGATTACCTAGGATAACCCCCCAAAAAAGTCAAAGTGACTTCATAAAAGTTATAAGAGTATCCTGGTTTATGCTTTTTTAGCAAACTACAATAGGGCTTCTTGGCATCCTTGCTTCATCACTGTCACTGTAGGGATGAGTTACTCTTGCACTTGTGTTTTGGTCACATCTCATAGAGGAACTGGTAGGCTGTGCCGATAGTCCACATTTGCCTTGGTCATTAGAAATCCTGTGTCTTCATTTATGACCTTCAGTGCCCAGTCTTGCTTGATTTGTCCACCTTCCTCTTTGATAGTCCCATATTTGTTGCAGATTCTCTGAAATTTTAGCTGAAAAAATATTTACTACACCAACTGGACATCAACTAAATCTTTCAGTGGGCTGCAGAAAACAATATGAAGTTCAACGATGAGAAATTTCAATTACTCAGATATGGTAAACACAAGGAAATTAAATCTTCATCAGAGTACAAAACAAATTCTGGCCACAAAATAGAGCGAAACACCAACGTCAAAGACCTGGGAGTGATCATGTCGGAGGATCTCACCTTCAAGAACCATAACATTGTATCAATCGCATCTGCTAGAAAAATGACAGTATGGATAATGAGAACCTTCAGAACTAGGGAGGCCAAGCCCATGATGACACTCTTCAGGTCACTTATTCTATCTAGGCTGGAATATTGCTGCACACTAACAGCACCTTTCAAGGCAGGTGAAATTGCTGACCTAGAAAATGTACAGAGAACCTTCACGGCGCACATAACGGAGATAAAACACCTCAATTACTGGGAGCGCTTGAGGTTCCTAAACCTGTATTCCCTGGAACGCAGGCGGGAGAGATACATGATTATATACACCTGGAAAATCCTAGAGGGACTAGTACCGAACTTGCACACGAAGATCACTCACTACAAAAGCAAAAGACTTGGCAGACGATGCAACATCCCCCCAATGAAAAGCAGGGGTGTCACTAGCACGTTAAGAGACCATACAATAAGTGTCAGGGGCCTGAGACTGTTCAACTGCCTCCCAGCATACATAAGGGGGATTACCAACAGATCCCTGGCAGTCTTCAAGCAGGCACTGGACAAGCACCTAAAGTCGGTTCCTGACCAGCCGGGCTGTGGCTTGTACGTTGGTTTGCGTGCAGCCAGCAGTAACAGCCTGGTTGATCAGGCTCTGATCCACCATGAGGCCTGGTCACAGACCGGGCCGCGGGGGCGTTGACCCCCGGAACTCTCTCCAGGTAAACTCTCCAGGTAAACTGTGACTTTCATTTTTGGCTCATGCCATTTTCATTTTTCCTCTACAAATCACCCTTGCTGTGCAGCACTTAATAATTCATGTGAGTTTAGTGCTTTCCCTGATTATAAAAATGTTATATTTAGAAGTTAAATTATTAAAAACATGATAATCTACATTAGAAATGAATGAAATAGAGGCTGTTTTTAAATACGGTACATAATTTAAACAGACTTGCATAGCTGTTAGGATAGTAACATACATAATGTTTAATTACACCATAATATTGTTGTATAAAATGAAATTATAACTATGTTTTCAGACTTGTATGACTGGGCTCATGGAAGCCAGGACTCAGTTGAGGTGGTTGTCTCACACAAAATGGGCAGTTGGCAGAACAGCGTATCAAAATCACCAAGACGCAGAGCAACCCTTAGGTCAGCTGAAGATGTTTGGAGAGATGAGGTGTAAACTGCTGTGACCAATAGTGGTGATTCAGAATACTGTAACCTGTATTTTGAGTCACCACTATAGTTTCGTTCCTTAATTTTTAAAGGGTGACATTTGTTGTACATATGCAGTACCACATGCAGTTTTATACTTTATACTATACTACATTTTTATTTTATACTTATTTTTTATTTTATTCTTATTTTTATTTTATACTTTTTATTTTTATATTGTTTATTGAGCCAGACTAGCTGTTAAGTTCTACTAGTGGAAATAGTGTAAATGGCTGAGAAGACAGATTTCTGAGAGGTGCACACTTTTTATGGCACACCAATTGCTTTAGAAGCCATTGTTAATTGCACTTTACCTAATGTGTTAATAAAGTCACACAAAGTGCTCTAAATCCAGGGAAAATTAGAGACTGAATGATGAGTGTATGCATGAGTGAGCACAACCAATAAACTGGCACAGGTAATCTCAGGGTACAGTGAACATAGACAGGTCTTGAAAATAGCTACTTTGGCCCATACCGGACAAATGTTGGAGTTAGTGAACTTGACTTGATACTTCAGAAGACAACCTGACATTATCACTGCAGACAAGAAGCAGAATTATGGACTTTTGTCCATTTTGTCTGATAATTAGTGTTTGTCCAACCTATTTTTTTTTTGCTAAAGATTGTCAGAATCCATGTAGGTGTGGTCCATTAATGAGAGGCTTAACTGTATTGTGGCTTGAGTAATTTGTAAATAACCTGCACTTAGGGGAGGAAACTTATGATCTGTCCTGAACTGTTGTCCAGGATGGACCAAAACAGTGTCACAATTTTCCTTTCCTGAATAAGGGTTATTTGTGAATTTTTAGATTACTGGTAGAGACAGAAGGTGAAATATGTATTAAACTAATATACGTATTATAGTTGGATTTAAAAACATAGCATGTTACCATTTTCTCAGCTTGAAGTATTAACGGCATTGATATTGTGGATCCTAAATCAAAACAGAATTCAGTTTTTCTGGAGTAAGCAATTTGACCTTAGAAGTGAATTATTTATTAATAGGGGTCTTTTATATTTACAAAATATATGAATGTTAAAAAAAATATTTTTTAATTTTATATTTGTTTTCTTACAGAACTGGCTGTCTGGTGAAAGTAAATGAACAAGAAGTGGCACTTTTCCGTTTTGGTAATGTTGTTTATGCCATATCTGAACACTGCCCCCATTCAGGTTGGTACTAGGTATTTACTGAAGAATTTAACTCTACAGGCGAATAAAATTAGTCTTCATATATGTTGCCTTCTGTTCTCAGCACGTTGTTCGGTCTATGTTCCCCTTAAATATTTTCTTCCATATTGAATGTTGAATATCACAAAGGCTATCTCTGATGTTCACTACAACTGGGAAATCTTTGCTATTTCCCTTCAAGTGGGTTAATGCTTCTTTTGGAATATACGGCAATAAAGAGAATAAGCTTGTTCAGTATACCAGGTAAAATGTATCTTTATTATAACTAAGTAACTCCTGTATCTTCACCATCTCTGTTCAGTCACTCCACAAACCTGATATATATGTATATATAGATAAAATAAAATATACCCCCTCCACACAACTCACACATACGATAAAGCTCTTGGAGAAGGGACAAGAGCCTCATCGTGTGTGTGTGTGTAGAGGGGATATATTTTATTTTATTTATCATATGTATTTTTTTTTTTTTTACTTAAAGGGGGACCCCTACACATAGGAGACATAGAGAGCCTTCCTGACCAGTCACTTTGTGTCAGGTGTCCATATCATGGTTGGAAATTTAACCTCGTGACAGGTAAAGTGGATTAAATTTTAGTCATTCACTGAACAGTTGTTATTCACACTGTAATACTCTATTCATTGGCAGAATATGAATAGAATATGTTTTACATATTTAGTGAAGGGATTCAGGGAAACCGGTTATTTTCATATAGGCGGACTTGAGTCCTGGAAATGGGAAGTACAATGCCTGCACTTTAAAGGAGGGGTTTGGGATATTGGCAGTTTGGAGGGATATGTTGTGTATCTTTATATGTGTATGCTTCTAGACTGTTGTATTCTGAGCACCTCTGCAAAAACAGTGATAATGTGCGAGTGTGGTGAAAGTGTTGAATGATGATGAAAGTATTTTCTTTTTGGGGATTTTCTTTCTTTTTTGGGTCACCCTGCCTCGGTGGGAGACGGCCGACTTGTTGAAAAAAAAAAAAAAAAAAAAAAAAAGTTTTACATAATATACAATGGAACTCCATATAGCCAAACTTCAGATTTGTAAAAAAATTCGTAAGTTTACTAAGCTGTTTCAAAATTCCCCTCAAAATAAATAAAATTTCAAATGGATCAGAAAGATTTACCAAAATCATTCCAATGAAAGTCAGCAGATATTGTTTGCTTTTGTTCTGCTATGCCAGAATCATTGTTGTTGACCATTTGGACATTATTGTGCCTCTTTTTTGTGAAGTTTAAGATATTCTTTACCATATACTCTTGGAATTGGTTCTGTACATGATATTGCAATGCTCCTAGAAAAGTATTTAACAATACAGTACCTTCAGTATAGGTACTGCTACAGTATGCTGTACATATTTAAAAATAACTTTATAATCCCTTCATTTTAGGCATAATAAATGAATCATTATTAACTTTAGTGTACCTTATAGTGTCTAATGTTCTAGATTCTATCATTTGTTCAGTATGACTTGAGCATGTAAATATAAGTTGTTCATTCATTACCATTGAATATGTTCTAAACATAAGGCTGAATTTAAATAATTTAAAGTTACCTTATTCAGTCTGTATTAACCCTTTCAGGGTCCGTCCCGTAGATCTACGGCTTTACGTTCAGGGTCCAAACCGTAGATCTACGTCATGAGCTCAGCTCACTCTGATAAACTGTGAGTGGTACATTTGGGCCTAGATATGAGAGAATACATCTATGTGGTATGTGTGCACCACATAAAACAGATCCTGCAGCACGCTGTGTATAATGAGAGAAAAAACTGAAATCATGATTTTTCGATTAAAACAGCGACTTTGCAGTGTTTTTTCGTATGTTTTTTATAGTTGTATTTGTGATTTCTTGGTCTCATTTGATAGAATGGAAGACATATTACAGAAATAGAGATGATTTTGATTGGTTTTAGCACTGGAAATGGCTTGAAACTGAGCTCAAAGTAGCGGAAATGTTAAAGTTTTGCCGATATTCAAGAGTAAACAAACGACCTCACACATCTAATACACGTCAGCTGGTGGGTCTAATATACATTCACAAATATGGTGATGATATTTATACAATTATTACAGTATTGCATAACAGTAAATCTTCTATTTTTTGGTGTGAATAAAAAATTGTGAATAAAAAATCAAAATGGAATTTATTTGTAAAGCCTCAAAATGTAACTAATGAACAGAGGAAATGTTAGTTTAGTTCCAGGAATACCTACATTGTTTATTCTGGAGCCTATTTTGAAATTGGAATATTTTGAACTTTGTGTTAAATTGGCCAAATTAACAATTTCTGATCACTTTATTTTGTAGTTGAAACAGTTGACTTGGCGATTTCTTGTGCTCAATCGATAGAATAGAAGTAATACTAGTGAAATAGCTAAGAATTTGGTTGATTGGAATAATGTAATTGGCCTAAAATGGGAGTCAAAGTCGGCAAAATCGCCGATTCGTAAATATCGCTGACACATCAAAATTCGCGAGAGCATAATTTCGTCAATTTTCCACCAAATTTCGTACTTTTTGTTTTATTACCTTCACAAAAAGATTCTCTACGATTTCACAAGAAAAAATAACAATTTTTTTTTTTTGAAAATTCTTGGACACTGGGGCACCACTTCAGATTTGGGCCTTGGACCCTGAAAGGGTTAATACTGTTGACTCAAAATGCTGCCATTATCTGTCTTGCTAGTTCACTGGAAAAGCAGGTGTGATTCATATTTTTACCCTTTCTAGCTTTGTAGAACTTCAAAAATCTCAGTTTAAAAAGCGAAAGAACCTTTACTTATTTGTTTACCTATTGGTAGTTACAGAAGTAGTTATGCTTGAGGTGTCCCATCTTAAATGGTTAATTGCATATAATTTGCTTTCAAGTTTCCAGTGGTTTTAGCACACACTACTTAGTCCGACAGTCTTGTGTGTTTGCTAAGAAGCATTTTCTAGTATCACTGTTTCACATCATTAAACAATTGTTAATTTGTTCTTGGTGCTGGTCATAAGAAATTTTTCATGATTTTATATGCAGTTAACTAGCAGGGGTATGTTAACGTTGATGTTTTTCAGTCTTTCTTTATTACTTATATTTCTTTGGCTACAGCATAGCTTCCAATGCTATCTTTATAGATTTTTTTTTTAAGCATGCATAACAGAATTGTTTCTACTAAGTGGAGTACTGTACAGTATACAAAAAGGGTGACTGACACTTTTAATTCTTCACTCACAAATAGCCATTTGTTGTGTAGGGCAACCCTATGAAAAGTAAAAGGTATCACAAGTAAGCACTTTATTTATATATAGTTTTTTTTTGTGTGTTCACATGCATGTATGTGCTCACCTATTCTTTCCTGTTTGTGGTTGCAGAGGTCGATTCTCAGATCTTGGCCCTGCCTCTTCAGATTCACTTCCTCTGTTGAACCTGCTCTTAAAACTATTTATGTAGTGTGCCTCCACCACTTCCTCATCAGATCATTTCCAATTCTTGACCATTCTGAGGCTGAAGAAATGCTTCCTAACATCCTTGTGGCTCATCTATGACCAGCTTCCAGCAGTGTCCCCAAATTCTTGTTTCTTACTTCTCAAAGACCCTTGTGGATTTAGTGCTTAGTTATAATTATAATAATCACCTCTCAAACAGCCTGTCCCCTTCTACCTCATCAATTCCCGAGTATTGTGTATGTTAGCGTTGTCTCCCCTAGTCCTGTCCTTGAAAGACCATTTGCTCTTACCAGTTCCGTTTTCAGATTGCTGAAATACATGGTTAACATGAAACATGATCTTTTTAAGAGAAACAGACTAAAGTCCTTTCACTTAGGTTATGTTAATGGTTCTACTGCTTATTACCCCTCAGGGAAGGTTCCTTGATGTTGGTGAGGGGCTCTTGATTTAGGGAATTGGATCTGTACTCCAGTTCCCCGAATTAAGCCTGAATGCCTTCCACATTCCCCCCCAGGCGCTGTATAATCCTACGGGTTTAGCGCTTCCCCTTTATTATAATAATAATAATAATACTGCTTATTAACCATATAGTTCAGTCTCAGACTAAGTATCCTCAGTTGGAAAGGAAACTCCTGTAAAAGTAAATTTAAGTGTACGTATATTGAATGTGTGAAAAGTTTGCAAGGTTTATGATTAAATATTACCTGCAGTTTACCTGGAGAGAGTTCCGGGGGTCAATGCCCCCACGGCCCGGTCTGTGACCAGGCCTCCTGGTGGATCAGAGCCTGATCAACCAGGCTGTTACTGCTGGCTGCACGCAAACCGACGTACTAGCCACAGCCCGGCTGGTCAGGAACCGACTTTAGGTGCTTGTCCAGTGCCAGCTTGAAGACTGCCAGGGATCTGTTGGTAATCCCCCTCATGTATGCTGGGAGGCAGTTGAACAGTCTCGGGCCCCTGACACTTATTGTATGGTCTCTTAACGTGCTAGTGACACCCCTGCTTTTCATTGGGGGGATGTTGCATCGTCTGCCAAGTCTTTTGCTTTCGTAGTGAGTGATTTTCGTGTGCAAGTTCGGTACTAGTCCCTCTAGGATTTTCCAGGTGTATATAATCATGTATCTCTCCTGCCTGCATTCCAGGGAATACAGGTTTAGGAACCTCAAGCGCTCCCAGTAATTGAGGTGTTTTATCTCCGTTATGAGCGCCGTGAAGGTTCTCTGTACATTTTCTAGGTCAGCAATTTCACCTGCCTTGAAAGGTGCTGTTAATGTGCAGCAATATTCCAGCCTAGATAGAACAAGTGACCTGAAGAGTGTCATCATGGGCTTTTCATCCCTAGTTTTGAAGGTTCTCATTATCCATCCTGTCATTTTTCTAGCAGATGCGATTGATACAATGTTATGGTCCTTGAAGGTGAGATCCTCCGACATGATCACTCCCAGGTCTTTGACGTTGGTGTTTCGCTCTATTTTGTGGCCAGAATTTGTTTTGTACTCTGATGAAGATTTAATTTCCTTGTGTTTACCATATCTGAGTAATTGAAATTTCTCATCGTTGAACTTCATATTGTTTTCTGCAGCCCACTGAAAGATTTGGTTGATGTCCGCCTGGAGCCTTGCAGTGTCAGCAATGGAAGACACTGTCATGCAGATTCGGGTGTCATCTGCAAAGGAAGACACGGTGCTGTGGCTGACATCCTTGTCTATGTCTGATATGAGGATGAGGAACAAGATGGGAGCGAGTACTGTGCCTTGTTGAACAGAGCTTTTCACCGTAGCTGCCTCGGACTTGACTCTGTTGACGACTACTCTCTGTGTTCTGTTAGTGAGGAAATTATAGATCCATCGACCGACTTTTCCTGTTATTCCTTTAGCACACATTTTGTGCGCTATTACGCCATGGTCACACTTGTCGAAGGCTTTTGCAAAGTCTGTATATATTGCATCTACATTCTTTTTGTCTTCTAGTGCATCTAGGACCTTGTCATAGTGATCCAATAGTTGAGACAGACAGGAGCGACCTGTTCTAAACCCATGTTGGCCTGGGTTGTGTAACTGATGGGTTTCTAGATGGGTGGTGATCTTGCTTCTTAGGACCCTTTCAAAGATTTTTATGATATGGGATGTTAGTGCTATCGGTCTGTAGTTCTTTGCTGTTGCTTTACTGCCCCCTTTGTGGAGTGGGGCTATGTCTGTTGTTTTTAGTAACTGTGGGATGACCCCCGTGTCCATGCTCCCTCTCCATAGGATGGAAAAGGCAGTTCTTGATGAACACGGAGTTCCATGAGTCTGGCCCTGGGGCAGAGTGCATGGGCATGTCATTTATCGCCTGTTCGAAGTCATTTGACGTCAGGATAACATCGGATAGGCTTGTGTTAACCAAATTCTGTGGCATTCTCATAAAAAATTCATTTTGATCTTTGACTCAGTCTGGTTAGCAGCTTGCATAAAACTGAGTCATATTGGGACTTGAGTAGCTCACTCATTTCCTTGCTGTCATCTGTGTAAGACCCATCTTGTTTAAGTAGGGGCCCAATACTGGACATTGTTCTCGACTTTGATTTGGCATAGGAGAAGAAATACTTTGGGTTTCTTTCGATTTCATTTATGGCTTTTAGTTCTTCCCGTGATTCCTGACTCCTATAAGATTCCTTTAGCTTAAGTTCGATGCTTGCTATTTCTCTGACCAGTGTCTCCCTACGCATTTCAGATATATTGACCTCTTTTAGCCGCTCTGTTATTCTTTTCCGTCGCCTGTCTCTTTCTATTTTACATCTTCTACTCCTTTTTCTTAGAGGAATAAGCATTGGTTTTCTGAAATGCTGTCTTAAAATGGCACTTAAATTTCATTCTTAAAAGCCCTCTAACATTCAGTTTTTATTAAGTTTATTAATATTTACCTGCTTTTCAGGTAGATGTCACCATCCAAAGACACGACAAGATTTATCTGCCATGGTTTTTCCAGTAAAAGTCAACCCACAAAATGGGGAATTGGATATTGGATTTAGTGAGTTTAATCCATTCTATTTCACCACACCTCTAGCTTGAAACTTTTGTTAAGAATTGTTATATTTCAGAGAGCATATTTTTATTTATATATGTGTATATATATATACAATTTTTTTTCTTATGTATATGATTTGAAATAAATTTTGAGATTTTCATATTTTCTTGTCAAAGCAGCTAGTTTATTGTGCTCCTCATTTTTTTTTTTTTTCCAACAAGTTGGCCGTCTCCCACCAAGGCAGGGTGACCCAAAAAAGAAAGAAAATCCCCAAAAAGAAAATACTTTCATCATCATTCAACACTTTCACCACACTCACACATTATCAGTTTTTGCAGAGGTGCTCAGAATACAACAGTTTAGAAGCATACACATATAAAGATACACAACATATCCCTCCAAATTGCCAATATCCCAAACCCCTCCTTTAAAGTGCAGGCATTGTACTTCCCATTTCCAGGACTCAAGTCCGACTATATGAAAATAACCGGTTTCCCTGAATCCCTTCACTAAATATTACCCTGCTCACACTCCAACAGATCGTCAGGTCCCAAGTACCATTCGTCTCCATTCACTCCTATCTAACACGCTCACGCACGCTTGCTGGAAGTCCAAGCTCCTCGCCCACAAAACCTCCTTTACCCCCTCTCTTCAACCCTTTCGAGGACGACCCCTACCCCGCCTTCATTCCCCTATAGATTTATATGCTTTCCATGTCTTTCTACTTTGATCCATTCTCTCTAAATGACCAAACCACCTCAACAACCCCTCTTCTGCCCTCTGACTAATACTTTTATTAACTCCACACCTTTTCCTAATTTCCACACTCCGAATTTCTGCATAATATTTACACCACACATTGCCCTTAAACAGGACATCTCCACTGCCTCCAACAGTCTCCTCGCTGCTGCTGCATTTACCGCCCAAGCTTCACACCCATATAAGTGTGTTGGTACAACTATACTTTCATACATTCCCTTTTTTGACTCCACATATACCTCAACGCACCACTCACCTTTTTTTCCCTCATCAATTCTATGATTAACCTCATCCTTCATAAATCCATCTGCCGACACGTCAACTCCCAAGTATCTGAAAACATTCACTTCTTCCATACTCCTCCTCCCCAATTTGATATCCAATTTTTCTTTATCTAAATCATTTGATACCCTCATCACCTTACTCTTTTCTATGTTCACTTTCAACTTTCTACCTTTACACACATTCCCAAACTCATCCACTAACCTTTGCAATTTTTCTTTAGAATCTCCCATAAGCACAGTATCATCAGCAAAAAGTAACTGTGTCACTTCCCATTTTGAATTTAATTCCCCAAAATTTAATCCCACCCCTCTTCCGAACACCCTAGCATTTACTTCCTTTACAACCCCATCTATAAATATATTAAACAACCATGGTGACATTACACATCCCTGTCTAAGACCTACTTTTACTGGGAAGTAGTCTCCCTCTCTTCTACACACCCTAACCTGAGCCTCACTATCCTCATAAAAACACTTTACAGCATTTAATATTATTATTATAATCAAAAAGAAGCACTAAGCCACAAGGGCTATACAGCACAGCATTTAATAACTTATCACCTATTCCATATACTTGCAACATCTGCCACATTGCTCCCTTATCCACTCTATCACATGCCTTTTCTAAATCCATAAATGCAATAAAAACTTCCCTACCTTTATCTAAATACTGTTCACATATATGCTTCAATGTAAACACTTGATCTACACATCCCCTACCCACTCTGAAACCTCCTTGCTCATCCGCAATCCTACATTCTGTCTTACCTCTAATTCTTTCAATTATAACCCTACCGTACACTTTTCCTGGTATACTCAGTAAACTTATTCCTCTATAATTTTTACAGTCTCTTTTGTCCCCTTTCCCTTTATATAAAGGGACTATACATGCTCTCCGCCAACCCCTAGGTACCTTCCCCTCTTTCATACATTTATTAAACAGAAGTACCAACCACTCCAACACTATATCTCCCCCCCCCCTGCTTTTAACATTTCTGTCATGATCCCATCAGTTCCAGCTGCTTTACCCCTTTCATTCTACGTAATGCCTCACGTACCTCCCCCACACTTACATTCTGCTCTTCGTGCTCCTCATATCCATCCTATTAACCCTTTGAGGGTCGACAGGCCCTCTCCGAAACTCGTTCTCAGGGTCGGCCAAATTTAAAAAAAAAAATTATTTTCTCTTATGAAAAGATAGAGAATCTTTTCCCGATCATAAAGACACCAAAAGTTTGAAATTTGATAGAAAACTTACGGAATTATGCTCTCGCAAAGTTAGCGGTCTCGGCGATGTTTACGCATCGGCGATTTTGCCCACTTTGAGCCCCATTTTCGGCCAATTTCACTATACTAGTCGACAAAAAACATGAATATTCCGCTAGAACTCCATTTTTTCTATCGAATGAGTGCAAGAAACCACCCATTTATAAATTCAACTATCCAGTACAGTGGTTAGAATTTAGCAATTTTGCCAATTTCACACAAATTTCAAAAGATGCCAATTTCCGAATAGGGTCCAGAATAAACAAGAAAGACATTCCTGGCACTAAAATGACATTTCCTCTAGTCATTAGTCACGTCTCAAGGCCCCTCTTATATTCTTTTCCTTTCCACTTTGAATTTTTATTCTCACAAAAAATATAAGATTTACTGTTATGCAGACTACTGCATTAGTGTAAAAAATGGTATAAATATTATTAGTGCACTTGTGAAAGAATATTAGACTCACCAGTTGACGTGTATTGCATGCTTGGCACGATTTGTTTACTTTTGAAGTTTGGTAAAAATCGAACATTTCTGCTACTTTGAGCTCAATTTCAAGGCACCTTTCATTGTAAAACCAGTCAAAATCATCTCAATTTCTGTAATATGTATTCCATTCTATAAAATGAGACCAAGAAAACTAGAATACAACAATAAATACCATACGAAAATACACTGCAAAGTCGCTGATTTATTAAAAAAAAATGGTAAAAGTTTTTTTTTTTCTCATTATGCACTGTGTGCTGCAGGATTTTTTTTAGACTGTGCACACTGACCACATAGACCCATTCTTTCATATGAAGGCCTACCAGCTTTCTCCCACTAGATTTGAGGCCGCTAGAATTTATGAGTACTAGTACGTCAAAAACCCCTACGCGTAAGACGTACTAGTACGACCAAAACCCTCAAAGGGTTAATTGAAGTGCAGGAGCATATGGATACACTGAAGGCTTCGGAACAAGGCCCTCAAAAGAGTTAACAATATGCATCTAGATTTGAATCTACAGTTGATTTACATGTTGCAAGCAAATTTAGGATATTTGTTTAATGTGTCTGGCCTATTATTTTCATTAATGAGCTACCCTGACACGTCACATAGGTTTTATGCAGAAATCGTGGGCAAGTGACAAGATGCAAAATAACCACAGGGGAAGTTGAATGATATCTCTAGGCCTTTTGTGTTGCAATCAACACATCAGGAACTTGCAAAGTTGCAGAAATGAGTAAGTAATCTTAGCAAATTTGTTCCGAGGGACACTTGCCAAGACTTGGCTAAGATTACTTACTCATTTCTGCAACTTTGCAAGTTGCTAATGTGTTGATTGCAACACAAAAGGCCTAGAGCTATGATTCAACTCCTCCTGTGGTTGTTTTGCACCACATAGGTTATTAAACAGTCTGCAGTCCTCAGTTAGTGAACAATAAAGCATAGTATTCAAGAAAGTGACGATAAAGCTGACCACACACTTTGCAAGTTCCTCCAAAAATGTACTTTTCTACATTCAAACTGTCATATTATAATCAGAGTGCTAAACTGACAAAAGGTCATGCAGCACTGCTTATACTATCATAGTGGGTGATGGATCTATTACTTGTATTAATCCTAATGGTAAACAGAGATACCAAAATTTATAATATACATTTTTCTTAAGAGTGCTCTAGCTAACCTATCAACTTTATCATGGAGTAATATTATTACTATAATAAAAAAAGAAGCGCTAAACCACAAGGGCTATACAGCGCTGCAGGGCAGGAAGGAAGCGTGGGTATCAGGTGGTAAAAGGGAGATGGACGAGTAATAGGTTACGGAGAACAGCAGGGCAGTGGATGGTGAAAGGGTAGAGGGCAGCAAGAGATTGAGGTAGAAAGGTCTGAGAGGAGTGCAAAAGGTATCATTATCAGAGTTTGTGGAGTAAATCAGTCGTTGTTAAGAAGTCAATGAGAGAGTCAGGATTAAAGGAGGGTCCATCAGCAAGAAGGGAAGGTAGAGAGAGTAGTAGAGTGGCATGGAGTAATAAAAATAAGAATTTTAGTAATTAAGTGATTCACTGAAATGGTGCTTCACTCTCCTGCCTCCATATTTTTTTTTTTAATCATATCTGATTACCTCCCATTCCTTAGGCACTATGAGCCCATATGATTTTAGTGCTTACCTTGTTAATCATTCCCAACATCCTGATTGGCTTGAGACTGTCACAATTAGTGGACAGAAGTGAGCCTCCAACATTCTGTGCTGAATGACCCACAGGGGTTCACTGCTTTACAAATCAATATATTTTCCCTAATCCTGCAATAGTGTAAAGAATAATGATGGATTGGATACAGTCCCGCCCATTCCATTTTTTTTTTTTTTTTTTGCAATAGCATTATGATTTCGTGAGT